TAGGACATACCTATCAGAAGAAGGGATTGAATCCCAGCTGACTGCACCCGGCACGCACTAGTAGAAAAACCATTTTTTATAACAGAGTTTTTATAACGGTTTTGTTAAACCCCTTATAAAAACAAATTTATATCGGGTGTCTATGAAACCCGTTATAAAATTTTCAGATTCTCAATTATCTATAACGGTTATTTAAACAACTGTTATAAAATTTTTCACATTATCAATTATCTATAACAGTTATTTAAACAATTGTTATAAAATTTTCAGATTTATCAAAACTGTTCTGTCTGTCTCCCCCGCCCAACAAAATACTCTCCCTCTATCTCGCCAAAATCACAGAGACTATACCAAAATCACACAATCTCTTGTAACCTCCCAAAATCGCACAGTCTAAGCCCTATTCGAACTCGCCATCGCCGTTCTTACCAAACCCCAGTCATAGTTCGTCGCTGCACTGAGCCCTCACCGTCCGTCGTTGCACTAACCCTCGCCATCAGGTGTTGGCTGTTCCAAGCCCTATTCACACTCGTACTGCAACTTCGGACGGGCCTCGACCTCCGGCGATATCGGACCTTGATTTTCTGTTAGGCCGCAGCTACTCCCGAGCCCCAACCATTGTTCGGCAATTTCGAGCTCTCAACGACCGAGCTCTCTTTCGGCGACTGCGGGGACCTTCGACTCCCTGCCACTTCCACGTCCGGCGACCAGCCTTGACAGCACACCGGCGGACGATCTTCGCAGCACCACAGAGTCGGCCAAATCGCTTTGTTCTTCCGGTGATTAAGTTCCTTATCTCCGATTCAAGGTATTTTGACTAACCCAACTCTTGAGTCTGATTGTTATTGGTATTGGAGATTGTGATTTTGATTTCGTTTTTTCGAGCAGAGCCATGAATACTTCTAAATTTGTACCTCTGTTCAAAACTGAATTCTTTGCATATTGGCATTCCTTCTGTATCCTTTTTCCTTGGGATTGTTTTACTTCGTCCAGGTTTTCTTGAGTTGGAACAGAAACGTTCACGAACTGGTTTCCTCTGTATTTCCCTCATTCTTTACGTGTTCTTCTGTTGTGTAATCTTTTGTACTACTGTTACTAAAAGAGGATAAAACTAAAATAGAGGCTCAGTAACATTATAAATGAGTTCATTGTGCACATTTCCAATAGTTTAAACAAGTAAACTTCATGTATGTCAATTTTTGTGAAGCTACAAATCAATACCAAAGCACCCATAATGGTATACGACATGATAAATGAGTAAAAAAAATCATAAAAACAGAGAAGGGCTAATAGAAGAATGCTATATCTGTCAGGTGATGCCATAACGAGAAAGTGGTGTCTGTATTCTGTAACACTATGAGGTACTCATAATTTTCAAATAAAATTGTAGTTGTTTTGTGTTTTTAGGCTAAACATTAGAGTTTAGTTTTTCGAAGAAATTAAGGTATTCAGTGGCGACTTCAAGGCCATAATTCAACCATACCTTAGTGAAAATCTTATGGCTCATATTACATATAATTTGTTTACTCTTTTATGGGTTTTCTCTTTTGCTAGGGGTGAGAAAAATATGAGCTTTCTGAATATTTTCTTGAGACCTGCAAGTGATGAAAAGATTTTTGTGTTAAATAAAGTTAGCCCTTTTATTCAGCATTGTTACCATTTGATCTAATTAAGTGCATCTAATGCTTTTGAGTACCTATACATTGATGCTTTTATTACCTTCTATTTTTTTCAATTTTTTTTTCTTAATTGGAATAGCTCAGCTGAATGATACTATAAATATGAAAATATAAAAGGGTACTTAAATGGGGTAGTTCTTGATAGTTGTAGTAAATGAGAATGAAAAATGATAGTACTTCTGTTTTGAAATTTTTCTCTGTTGCTTTGTGGAGATTTTAGCTATTGGATTTATGGTTTTTGTTTGTTTTTCATATTTTTACAGGTTGGTCATATTTGACAGTATAATAATAATAATAATAATAATAATAATAATAATAATAATAATAATAATAATAATAATAATAATAATAATAATAATGATGATAAATGCAGTGATTTTGTAGTGTGTTCATATGTATCATCATCATCATCATTATCTGTGTTCCCGTTCCCTTTCTTTGTTTTTGTGCCTTTGAATATCATATGAATGTAATGTATAAGAGGTTATGATTTATCCCTGTGGACTCAAATTTTTTTAATGTGTTTTGATCATTTGGGACACAATAGCAGTTCAAGATATTCTTTAAATGAGTTGTCATTTTGTATCAAAAGATGCTTCTTCTTATGTGCACTGCAAATATGAATTATTAAAAATAACTATCCTTAATGGTCCAACTCAAATAGTACACATCTAATAAAATTATTTAGTTTAAGGATTTAGTTTCATTATTATTTGCAGGTTTGCTCCCGTTAAGGATTCCTTTAAAATTAAATATTTAAATAAAATCCATGTTGCAAGCCCCCAATAGCTATCCACTGCATATTTTAAATAAACAAATTAAATATATTAAATTCCTTGTTTATTCTTGATGATTTCCTTTTTCTTTTTTTTCAAAAGTAGAATTCTCAGTATATTGTCCTTATTCGGATTGTCAATTTAACATGTACATTTTAGGAAGTATGGATCGTAAGTGGATAAATGCTATGCGCACAATTATTGAATATGAGAATGGAGTGGAAGACTTTTTGAAGTTTGCTAAGCGACATGAATCTGAAAGTATGAACGGAAAATTTTACTGTCCGTGTGTGAATTGCCTGAACAATCGACGACTATGTGTTGAAGAAATTAGAGAACATGTCCTTTGCGATGGTTTCAACAAGAGTTATACACGGTGGATTTGGCACGGCGAATTTGATATGCCGAGTGCATCCCAAACTGAAGAAATTGATGCAGATGATGCAGATATGTATGATCGGGTAGAAGACATGATTAATGATGTCGGAGCAGAGTCATTTGAACAAGCACATGTAAATAAGGTTTGTGAGTCCTTGTCTGTTGATGCAGAAAAGCCTCTCTACGGTGGTTGCAAGAACTTCTCCCGTTTGACTGCAATTTTAAAACTAATCAACTTGAAGGCAGCAAATGGGTGGAGTGATAAGAGTTTTACAGAGTTGTTGTGCTTGCTTAAGGAAATGCTCCCCGAGGATAATGAGTTACCGAAATCTAATTATGATGCAAAGAAGGTTTTGTGCCCGTTAGGCTTGGGTTATAGGAAGATTCATGCTTGTCCTAATGATTGCATTTTGTACAGAAACGAGTACACAAGTCTTGAAGAGTGTCCGGAATGTGGAGTTTCACGATTCAAAAATGAAGCTGATGCAGATTCAAGTACACGTGTTCAACATACGAGACCACCTGCAAAGGTGCTCTGGTATCTTCCTATAGTACCAAGATTGAAACGTCTTTTTGCTAGTGAAACAGAGGCAAAAAACTTGAGATGGCATGCAGATGAGAGAAAAAAAGACGGAATGCTCCGTCACCCTGCAGATTCGCCTCAATGGAAAAAGATTGACCAACTTTTTCCTTGCTTCGGAAATGAGCCCAGAAACCTAAGACTCGGACTTTGTACTGATGGGATGAATCCATATGGCAATCTCAGCAGCAAGCATAGTGCATGGCCAGTTCTATTGACCATTTATAATCTTTCTCCCTTGTTGTGCATGAAACGCAAGTACATCATGTTATCTATGATGATATCGGGGCCAAAACAACCTGGAAATGACATAGATGTTTACTTGCAACCGTTGATCGAAGACTTGAAAATGTTATGGGATGAAGGTGTTGATGTATTCGACGCATATAAGAAAGAAACATTTAAAATGCGTGCGATGATCTTTTGTACAATAAATGATTTCCCAGCTTACGGAAACTTGTCTGGCTATAGCGTTAAGGGGCATAAAGCATGCCCTATATGTGAAGAAAACACGTGCTACCATCAACTTGAACATGGAAGAAAGACAGTCTACCTTGGAAGTCGAAAGTTTCTAAAACCGGACCATCCGTATCGTAGATTGAAAAAAGCTTTCAACGGTGAGCAGGAGTACGAGAAGGCTCCAGATGTCTTAACTGCTAAAGATGCTTTTGATCGAGTGAAAAATATGAATGTGAAATTTGGTAAGACACAACAGGCAACTCAGAAAAGCTTATGGAAAAAACGATCTATCATTTTTGAGCTTCCATATTGGCACGAGCTTCAAGTCTGATATTGCCTTGATGTGATGCATGTTGAGAAAAATGTGTGTGATAGTCTTATTGGCACTCTTCTCAATATACAAGGGAAGACAAAAGATACTCTAAATGCGCGTAAGGATATGGTTGTTATGGGCATAAGAGAGGAATTGGCACCAATACCTCAAGGTAGGAGGACTTATTTGCCGCCGGCCTGTCACACACTATCCAAAAATGAGAAAAGAAGTTTTTGTGAGTGCTTACACGGAATAAAAGTTCCCCATGGGTATTCTTCTAATATTAAGCGACTCGTTTCCATAAAAGAGTTGAAGCTGGTGGGGTTAAAGTCCCATGACCATCATGTATTGTTCCAGCAATTATTACCTGTGGCCATTCGAGGTATATTACCGAAGAAAGTGAGATGCACGATCAGTAAGTTGTGTTTCTTCTTCACTGCCATCTGTTCTAAGACCATTGACCCTCTACTATTGGATGATTTAGAGAATGATGCTGTAGTTATCTTGTGTCAACTCGAGATGTATTTTCCACCTGCATTCTTTGACATTATGGTACATCTAATCATTCACCTAGTGAGGGAGATTCGGTTATGTGGCCCTGTGCATTTGCGATGGATGTATCCATTTGAGCGATATATGAAAATTTTAAAGGGTTATGTGAAGAACCCTCATCGACCGGAGGCGTCTATTGTTGAAAGATATGTTGCAGAAGAAGTGGTTGAATTTTGCACTGAGTATCTATCACGGGCTAAATCAGTTGGTCTTCCAAAGTCTCGCCATGTGGGTAGATCTCCTGGAAAAGGGACACTTGGGGGACGAATGAAGAGTGTTGATCGTGAAGAGTTGTTACAGGCACATCTGTATATTCTAACCAATACTCCTGAAGTTCAACCTTATTTGGATACGCATAGGAGACTCATAAAGGAGAAAAATCCTCGAAAAGCAGAACGATGGTTGGTGAACGAGCATAACAAGACCTTCATATCGTGGTTTAAGAATGAAGTTGCTAATTGCCCTTCCGCTTCAAATACAGTCTCCTGGTTAGCGGCTGGTCCTAATTTTGATATCATATCTTGGCGTGGTTACGACATAAATGGATATTCATTCTACACGAAAGAACGAGATGAAAAGAGCACTATGCAAAATAGTGGGGTTTCAGTTGAAGCGGAATCAATGCATTTCTCAAGTGCAAAAGACAAAAACCCGTTATGTGCCTCTAGCTCTTATTTTGGGATTATTGAAGAGATATGGGAGCTTAACTACGTTAAGTTTACTGTGCCTGTTTTCAAATGTAAATGGGTGGATAGTAATAATGGTGTGAAAGTTGATGAGTTAGGATTTACTTTAGTCGATTTTCGTAAAGTTGGATACAAGAATGAACCATTTATCATGGCAAGTCAAGCAAAGCAAGTGTTTTATGTCATTGACCCGAGCAACGAAAATTGTTCAGTTGTCCTCCATGGGAAACGACAAGTATCAGATGATGATAAGAATGACTTGACTATTGATGTTTCTGAATTTCCTTCCACCAGATCAAGGATAGCTGTTGAAAATGAAGAAGTTGAACGTGATGATGTATGTGCTGCAAGAAACGATCATCATGAAGGCATATGGGAAAACACACCAATAAATTAACTTTGCCAGTAAGTATAAAATAATTATCTGGTGTTTATAATTGTATGATGTTTGTAAAATATTTGATGATGTATGTGCTGCAAGTTAATTGTTGTAATAATTGTGCTATAATAGTTGTTTGATGTTTGTGTGACAACATAATTGGTTGATGTTTTGCTAGTATTTGCATAAGTGTCGATTCTTTTCTCTACAATGTTGTACTTTTATTTATATATTTCACTTTGTTGCGTGCAGGAATGGAGGATTTCAATAGTGATGATGCTCACTCCGACTCTACGAACGAGTCGAATCATTCTCAGAAAGATTGTCGAAAGGGCGGGCGCGGAGCAACACGATTGCCACATTTAATGCTTCAAAGCGGGAAAAAGAGGAAAATATCATTTGATTGTGATATGCAGCCAGATGGACCGACCATAGATATCATCACCGATTTTATTAGTTGTGTTGGCCTTTTAGCTCGGAGCACAGCCAGCATTTTAGCTGAAAATTGGAAAGATGGTGTGCCCGACAAGATTAAAGAGCAAATCTGGCAAACTCTAGAGGTATGATATTTATAAATATTATTATGTTTCATTTCTTTCCATATCATATAAACCGGTATATTTTTTCCATTAACAAATTATATAATGTTATTAATTATATGTTTATAGGAGATATTTGAGTTGCCGAATGATAAAAAATTGAAAGAATACTGGTTAAGACGTGCTGGGGAAAATTGGAGGAGTTTTAAGACAAGCCTCAATCGCTACATATCCGGGAAACAAAAGGGTCAGCTTCCATATATCAAGACTTACCCGTATCTTGATAAAGATACATGGGAAGCTTTTGTTGCATCTCGTCAAACTCCTGAATTCTTAGTAAGTTTTACTTTTGTGTAATATTAATTTTTTCATTCATGACTACATGTGATTAATATATCATTAGTCTATTTTGAACTAGAACATTTAATATATTTTTATATATACAGGCAAGAAGAAAAAAAGCACAAGAAACACAATCACACAATAAGTATCCTCATATTTTGTCTAGAGGTGGTTTACCTCTTTTGAAAAGAAAAATGATGGAGGAGAAACAAAAGGCCAGGAGAGAGGCCTCGTTAGATGAATCTGTTATTGTTCCCCCCCATCTCCACCCTCTCGCCATGAGATGTGGAAAAGGGCTCGTCTGAGATTAGATGGAAATTATACCTCAGAGGAGACTAAAGCTATTGGTAACAAGATTGTAAGTAAATACTGATACTAAATTCAATCCATTACTTTTATTTCCATATAATGCATTTTAAATATTATTTTGTGTGCTTATTGCAGGATTATTTGGAAGAACAATCTTCCCAGGGTAATTTCAAACCTTCGGGTAGAAATGATATTCTTGCGGAAGCAATAGGAAAGCCAGAACATCCTGGCCGTGTGAGGGGAGTCAGAAAGGGCGTGGGCATTAAAGCTTTTTTTGGACGATCAAATCGTCCAAGTGCAGGTGCAGGAATGGTGTCAAGGCAGGAGTTGGATGTCATTATATCTCAGGTGAAAGAAGAAGTTGCAGAGCAGGTGAAAGGTGAGGTGATGAAGATGATGCAACTTGGTTCTCAGCCAGGCATTTCACCTAGCTCTCCAGTAATCCTGAGCACGAAAGGAAGTGGCACTCCAGCTTTGGATGTGAGCAAAGACGGCGAGGAATATGAATTGTATCTAGAGGACCCCCAAAGGCGATTGGTGGCATATGGCCATGTCCACAATTTGGGGTCAACCATGCACCATCGAATGATGAAGGATGGAGACGTGCGGGTTGTGGTCTCACGGGTTATAGTTGGTGATGCTTTTGTGCCATACCCGACAGATGAGGTCACTTTCGTGAGAGATGCTCCAAGTCAATTCATTGCTTGGCCTAGAAATCTAGTTGCGAAGAATCTAAAGGTAAATAATTTTTGTGTCGATATATCTCCTGAATATATTCTTCTACATGCATTCAATAATAATTGCTCTTTGTTAATGGTTTGTTTTAATATATAGGATTCTTTCCAACAAAAGCAAATGGATCCAAAACCTAAGACGGATGTGCTCAGAGCTATGTGGAATGCAACAATTGACATTACACAACCAGTCCATGTAGTTGTGGAGTCAGGGATTGTCGGTAAGAAAATGGATTTGTTCGTCTATCAGAAGGATATCATGGAGCTCTTAACAAATCAAAGACTTTGTGTATCTATACTGCAGTTCTTTAATTTGTGAGTAATTTTTAACCATTTTTTTCTTATTGTTTTTTTATATTATGAAACTAGATATATTTATTTTTGTTGTTATTGTTGTTGTTGTTGTTAGTGTTATTGTTGTTGTTGTTTTTGTTTTTTACAGGTATTTGCACAAAAATTTAAAAGAATCTGGCAGAGAAAATAAATATGGATTGATGTGCCCGCTCTCACTCCAAAGCAAAGGTAACAGTAGAGAACATGCAACGAACTACATTCAAGAAAGACTGACAAAGGGAGATTTTGAATGCTTTCTTGCACCATATCTGAACCAGTAAGTAACTTCACTTTCATGTCATTTCTTGTTGTCCTATACATGACTATAAACTAACAGCACAACTATGTTTTCTTCTTTTTAAAATGTTAGGGATCATTGGCAGTTGATTGTACTTTGTCCTAAATAGAATATGGTGGTTTGCTTCTGTTCCTTGTCAAAAAAGCTTAAGAGTGATATAGTCCAGAAAATCACGACGTATGTTTTATTTTAGATGATTTTGATCTATTGGTTAGAATTTATTTTGAAACTAAACTCTCTATTTTACATTTATTATGTTAGGGCATTTTCCACATATCAGGTAATGAAGGGAAATCATCCCTACAAACAGAAACCCGAATTGGTCTATCCAAAGGAAAAATTATTTTTTAAACAACGTTATTTTGTAACTTGCAATTTCATTTTGTTACTAGAAATTTAATCATTACATTTATCTTATTTTTCATAAGTTATTAATTTTATACGATTCTTTTTATATTTTACAAGTGTCGCCAACAATCGGGAGGTGTTGAATGCGGGTATTTCGTTATGAGATATATGCTGGAAATCATCACACTTGACGTTACAAACAACTTTGATAAGGTAATTGTGAACAAAAATAATTTGTAAATATCAAACACAATTATATTTTCAAGTAAATAATTTGTTCTATCTTTTCGTCTTAATAATATGTTATAATTATTTTTTCAAATTGCAGGTGTTTAATTTGGACGAACCCTTCTCCAGTGATGATATTAATGATGTAATGAGACGTTGGACTCAGCATTTTATCGATATAACTTCATTAGTAAAGTAGGATAAGATTAGACTTTTGTTAGACAGACTTCGTAGTTTGTTGAACATGTGGTGTGAAACTATTTGTCACTTGGTATTGTTGATATGGTAGTTTTGTTTGTTTGTTAATATGGTGGTTTTGTTTTTTAAAAAAATAGAATGTTGCACCCTTTTTTATAACAGGTGTTATCTACGATATAAAAAATTGTGCATTTTAATGTGGGTTCAAAATTATAACGGGTCATTATTTAACCATTATCAAATTCATTGTTTTTATAACGGGTATTTAGTAAACCGTTATAAATTATAGTGTAAACAAAAGAAGTTTATAACGGGTAAATTAAAGTACGTTATAAATATTATATATTTTATAACGGGTGAATGAGGAACTGATATAAAATAGAGTAGTCTATAACATGTAAACTAAATATTTATAACGGGTCTATGTTACCCGTTATAAATGACAGTCAATTTATAACAGTTCAACAACCGTCATAGAAAGTTCATACTTTCTATAACGCCTGAAACTATAACGAACTCAAAACCGTTATAAAAAGCCTTTTTTACCCGTTATAAAAACTGTTTTTTCTACTAGTGACTCAACCCGACCGATGGATAGGTCTTGGAGAGTCATCGGACTCAGTTCCAGGAGACCTAGAATCGGACCCAAGAACTTATGATGAGGCACTCCAAGATAGAGATACAAATTC